TGCCTCGCGCCGCGCCCCCGCCGCGCCGCGGGTGCTCACACGAGCGGAGCTGCTCCCCTGGAGCTGGACCGCTCCTGCCCGTTGGCTCCTTGTCACCCGCAATGGTTGCAGGCCAGGAGCGAGCTCGCACACAGGCGGCTGGCGACTGCTCCCCTCGCTAGCTCCTGCACTTTCAAATCCCAGGGGAGAGCAAGCGAGCTTGCGTTTGGTACCTTGAGGCAGAGAATCTGCCATTTCTTTACGGCCATGCAAGTTCTGATGTGATTTATCTTGACGGTACTCGTATTTATTTTATAATTGCTGCTGAGTGTGGCCTGCATTGAATGCCAGAGCACTTCATCAGGCTGCTGTATAAAATAATTGAAATTACAGTAACTGGTGCCTAGCAAGTAAGCATACCAACAGTGGGCAGTTATTAAACACCACGAGAATCGTAAATGCTACAGAAAGACCAGTTACAACGTTCTCATTCTCCTTTCTCCCTCCTTTCCATTTCTCCCCTCCATGGTTAGCCACATCATTAAAAACGTCTCAGATAATTTTTTTTTTAAGTTAAGAGCCCGAAAATGTTTTGCCACATATACAGCATGTCACATACTGTAAAGCAACACGTGGAAAGGCTTTTCAGGAGTGAACTACAACAGATTCAGGGGATAATGCTGGCTTAGCAGTTTCCCTAGAAATACACACCACAGGAATAATGGGAAAATGTAAGGGACATTAGGCTAACTTCTCCAGCGCTCTTTATCTGCCAGGCATCCTGGTTTATTCAAATTGCTGTGAGGACAACCTTTCAGCATTTAAAAAACAAGCTGCTGTCAGAACACCTTCAAGGAGGAAAAAGAAAAAAAGATCAAAGCATTACTCACAGCAAAACACAGATGAGTATCTTCTGACCTAACCTAATGGGCGCACACAATTTATAGTGTTTTTTCATAATTGAAGACAAAGTCTAAGATGAATCAAGGAATGATTCACTGTTTATCTGACACGTTAGAAGAGACACTTTAAAGAACTGCCACAACACAGGCTATACCAAGAAACTCCCATTATGC